CTCAATCAAGAACTCAAAAGATTGTATAGAGTAAAGATATACGGTACAAAATCAAAGAATTAGAGTGAATACACCTCTTTTATGTGGTTCAAAAACTTGTCAAGGTTATAAATAGATTCAGAGGTTCTGAAATAGTAATACATACGATAGAGAAACTCATCTTTATGAATCCATAATAGTCGATCTCTGGAGACATGATAAGGTTACCAATAACTGTTCCAGCCTCGGCCATATAGCTTCAATATTGTTTGTGTGTACTCCGGTTGTTGGGTTCACAAAATGCCGCTTGTGGATAACGACACGATGCAGATAACCAAGTCTATGTAGGCATCTGTACACTCTTCAGTTATCCGTATACAATGTATAACACGGCTGTAGTCACTGTTACTGGTGCTATTATTATCCACTTCGTAACAATTTTCATAATTTGCCTTAGTCTCAATCTGGATTGAGCGGAAATAATCTTATTCTAGCAGACTTCTTCTTCCAACATATATTACAAAATCATCACGGTAGTCTGCACAAGTCATTTAATTAACACAATCACAAATAAAGGAGTTTCTTAGTAGTCTCATTTTAGTGGCTCAATTATAACGCCTTCTCTAAAATCCTCTGTGAACAGATAGTACGTGAGCATCAGGTACTGAAATTGTTTCCGTGGTCTTGAAATCCCTCAAATGCTTCTGACTGGCTCTTCCATAAATTGAAGCCTCACCTCGAATTCTATATACAATACGTTCCTTTGTACTCACCTTAAATCGCACTATATCAGTGATTCCCAGTCTGTATAATAAATAAAATACTTTCTAAATGTCACATTCTCATGGCGATGGAGCCTGTGATAGAACAGTTGGACATACATTCAAATTCTAAAGCTTTCGAAGATTACATAGTAAGGTTCTAAATTTGGAGCATGACCAGGAAAGATGTGAACGATCATAAAATTGTTGCTCTTTTCCTCACATCAACTGGGACGGAGGACTACAGCTTATTAAAAACCTTGGCATTTCCCGAAAAGCTTATTTCATTTCCTCATGCAACTCTCAAAGAAGTACTATTAAATCATGTATAGTGCACTAGTTCCGAATATCTTGAAAAAGTGGAATTTCATGGAACGATTCTTCAGAATAACCAGAAGGTTAGGGAATTTATCCTCGAATTTCAAAACCAAGCTTCGGGAACGACTGATTGCAGGAATTAACATACTAGATCTGGAAAGAGCTGTTAAAATGCCGCTTTCTGAACGTATACAGGAACAGTATGTAACACCACTGGAAGTGCCACATTAAGTAGTCACAAAGTCTTCATATGTAAAACGATGCGTGTTTCTTTGAGCATGGTAAAAAAACCATGTCATAGTTAATACTGATTTATGATGTGTCTGTTATAGGGTTCACGAATAAGTTTCTGTAAACAGAATCCGAAATTACTGACCAAATTATGAACAAAGTTATAATAAATATTGTCAAGTAATATTTAAATTGTGCTTACCACATTTTTTGTCAATACCAAATGTCTATGCGAAATACCAGAAGGGTTAGAAACTGAAGAGCGTTGTTTACATGAAATAATAAACTTATAGGTTATTCTTCACAGATTGAAATCATGAGTCAGTTGAAGCTAGACCATCATGGAAAACCTGGAAGCACTGGACGGCCGTTTTGCCCTAGTATGGGACTCCTCAGCAGTGCGCATCCACGATCCCGCACCCTGAGGGATCCGAACCCAGGACCTACTGGCTTCGCGCGCGAGCACTTAACCAGTAGACCACTGAGCCGGCATCCAACGGTGTTAATGTCTAACTTCCAGGTTTTCAATGGTGGTCTAGCTTCAACTGATTCATGATTTCAATCTGTGAAAAATTTCTAAAATCTCCACAAACCCCTTCTGATTATAGGTTATTCGTCACTTGCTAGTGAAGTCATAAATACAGTGAAATCAGAGTTTTAAGGTAATATGTGCTGTGAAACCATTAACATTTCATTTAAATCATAAACTTGGTATAAACAAATATCATAAGACTGTGAAGTGTTCACAGTTCTATGATGGGGATTTGAAGCTCCTAGTCCTTGATACGACACAACCCTAGAATCAACTAACAACTTATAATGAGTTAATTCTTGAATACCTAATCCATTACAAACTGACTAGTACAAATTAATTTATGTAAAATACATGACGAAAAGTGAATTACCAATCGATACTTGTATGTTGTGATGTGATAGTAACTACAGCAAATTGTAAATGACGCCTACTTGTGATGTGTCTGCTCTACAGATTACCGATGAATTTCTATTAACGGAATCCAAAATTTTTGATGAATAGCACTATTTGCAAATAAGAGACTTATAGGTACATTCTGTTACATGCTATTTGATGAATTTATTGAATGTGATACTGCTAACTAAGTTTAACTGTATGAAACTATTAAGGTTCTCAAAGCTTTGTGATAATGTTTGTTTACGCCAGTGTACAACTTATGGAATTTGTGATCATGGAAGATCATGTGGGAAACCAGTTTACAAGTTCATGATAACTGTGTTCTACATTGCCTATTGACATTTTTATTCACTTTATGAATTAGTTAAATGTAAATATGCCAACTATACTCAGTGTTTTACATTAGAAATCCTGTAGGTATGTATAGAATAGTCGATATGATGCCAGAACAAATATTAATGCAGAATAATATGGATTTATTATAATTCATGGCATGAACAAGTAATCTAAGATGGATTACGTAATCATTCATTTTATTTTTTTCACCTTTATTCAGCAATTTCTTAAACCATCCTGTCAATTATCCCCGCTCACTTGATCCTCTTCAAATTCTATTCAATTATTACGTAGCCCAACTTATTAGTTTTTAAATCCAAGGTGCCTTTATAACCTATAAAATTTTCATACCACTTATCTTATCCGTCTGTGAACTCTACTCCATCGATTATTGCACTACCCACCTTGATACTAAAAACAAATAACCTCTGACCTGTTACTGACTGTATACATGTTGAAGCTAATGTCCTCAATATCTGACTCCAATAAATAATATCCTGTTAACTGAGTATTTTAGGTAGGCTTAATCTCCTAGTAGAATTACGGATTTACTCGAGATTATTGAGAAGCCTGAACACCAGTTATAGAGATAATTTATTGTTAATGATTAATAATAATCCGCAAGCGTGCAGCGAGCAAACACACACGATGAAGCCAAGTAAAAATGATGCACAGTGGAGATGGCTGAGAAGCCAACTCCATTTTAGTCAAGCGTTACTCAATATTTATAGTCAGACAAAGTAAAGCTACAGGACATGTGATAAGAAGTGTAAACACATATACGCTCACATAAAAACAATGAAGACTGGTAAGCGAATAACTAACATGGTCAACATATGACTCAAATAGAATGAATAGATTGGTCTGTCCGAGAACTAGAATAAGGTATATGGGCTTGAAATAATAACTGACACTAAATACATATGTATATAGTTATTATTGATAACCTACGTTATTCTAATTCTTTACATTCAGTCATGTCAACTGTTTCATACCTCAATGTTAAATTATATTACATATTTGGTTTTGGGCAGCTTACGAGAAAGCACGAAATATAACGAATGCATACTATTCTGCATCAATATTTCTCCTGGTTTTATTTCAATTCATAAGCACAACTAATCACATGAAATTATAGTCTACTTAGGTACTGATACTAATTTGACAATAAACGTAATTCGACAACGGTAAATAAGTCATGTGGATGCCTAATCTGTAAGATTTTACGTGGAAGTAGCGTCATTTATTCCTTTTTAATTCTTACAGACACTCACTCGTGAACATTATTGGTATTCATCCCCATGAAAGTAGGAATAAGAGGAAAATAAAAATTATGCATAAGTTTATTGAATCATCATTAATAATGAAGCAGAAAAACAAGTTTACAAGTTGTTATTTAGAATTCTCAAATAAGAATTGTTCACATGTTTCTCAACTTCCGTTGCGAAGCGTTCACCATATTTCTCAATGATGAGATGCTTACAAATTCTTTGGCTTCGTAGGATCCTTATATACTCATCGCTCCGTCTCGATAATGAAATTGTTGTGCTGTTTTATAAGTTGTGAGTATTGTCTAAATTCCATCTGCTGCAATAAATAAGTCGATGAGCTATACAGTTTATATTTCATAATTAATAAAGCTTATCTGTAAGAGTTCGGCTTTTAAATTATGCCAGTAGCAGATGTCGGCAGGAATATCGACACATAATAAATATGCTACAATTGCATTCACAAGTACTTAGATCCACCTCGTAATGCTTTCCGCAGTCGATGATAAACAACCAGTCGCCGGTTTAATATTCCAGATAAACAAAACACATTTTTTAAAGTTCACATAACACTTTTGATTTTGCGAATGGTGTCAGCATGTTCAGCAAGGGAATTAGACGCTGTGGAGCATCATATTTTCGCGATCATCCAGCTATTATTTGGTCTTCAATACTTTTCCCATAGGAAATCATTGCACTCCATTTCAAAGCCTTGTACATACATTTGTGCAAACTATCAGTTTTGCGTACATATTTTCTTATCTGTCGATTTAGTGACTCAACACGATTATTCGTGTTGTTACCCAAAGTAAGAACATTGCCTAAAAAAACACGTGCCCATATAGTTTTACGCAACATCCAAAAACGAGATAGGTACTGGCCTATCAGTCTGTCCCTCTGGTTTATTAATCTGAAACATTGATTAAATTTAGTGAATAAATGCATTTAAAAAAAAGCCTTCCAACCGTTTCTGCGGTTAACAACCGACTCAGGTACGTTCTCAGTATTTTGTCATGTGTCTAAGGCCGATTTTATGTAAGTAACCATTGGTGTATCTTAGTGTGGAAAGTGAGAATTACATAAAACGCGCACAGAATAATGTTTGCATGCCCGTGTGTGATACGGACCATCCATGAACTACTACAAGTATGGTTGTTACTTTGTAATTTGATCTGTGATCCCAACAACTGTAGTAAACCTAAACGAAATGTCAAGTCACAGGTAAATCCTAAGTATTTGTAGTATTTCTTTGGGTTATTACTGTTGCAAGGAATAACGTTTTTATAATTAATCATCTCTCTTTGTAGTGCTTCATGCTCAAGTGAAACTTCAGTCGACCTTAGCGAAGCCTTTCGAATTATGATATTGAACAAGCGTTTCGCGTGCTGGGATGACTTTGATATCGCCTTAAAAGAGTTCCAAAAAGTATGGAATAGTAATTTTATCGCTTCTCAGACTACTTATACTCGTTACATTCACACGGAAAGCAGGTTGCTAAAGGATGTCAGGTTTAAATGCCTGTTTGTAACGTTTAATTGTACGTTTGGTCATAAGCGGAAATCGGAAGGTTTGAAAGTGAAGCAAAAACCGTAAGACCTTTAACTAATATCTGATGTTTAAGGTCCAAATTCCGTAATTGCCAATCTAAATTCCTTGTAAGACTAGAGGAGCAAGGATATGTCATCAAATCCTACAACATGCTCCACAATCATCCATGTAGTAGTTCATGGATGGTATGTGATCCATGGACAAGGAGATTATCATCAGAAGAAAAAGAGAACTTGAAGCCAGTAATACTGCACTGTGAGTCAGCAGATGAAGTTATCGAAAGTATTAAGGAGAGAACTGGTAAGCAAGTAACCGCTGCCGATGTCAAAGGTATGAAAGCTACACCCTCCACTGGTGAGTGTATATAAATATATTTCAGGTTGTACTCGGAAGCAGGTAATGCACATGACGCGACAAAACGGTGAAGTTAGAGAGCATGTAGAAAATGGATGTATTACGGCAATATGCTTCAGCAGTTATGACCAGATACGGTTGTACAATCAATATCCCGAAGTCGTGTGTATTGATTCTACGTATAAAACTAATAATAAAAAGTGAATATGATTTTCGTTTTGTTCTACTATGTAGATATTCATTATTCCAGTTAGTTGTGACAGACAATTGTGGTCGAGGACGAACTGTTATGTTTGCGTGGACACGAAAAGAAAAGCGTGCCGATGTGATATGGATTTTAGATAAATTTAAAGAGATAATGGGTAACACAACAATAACAGAAACATTTGTGATGAATTGCGCACGATCTGAAAGCGCGGCTGTCCGTATAACACACGGGCATGCAAACATCATTTAGTGCGCCTTTCGTGTAATTCGCACTTTCCGGAAAAAGGTACACCTATGGTTGCTTACATAAAATTTCCCTTAGACAAATGATAAAATACTAAAAACCTACTTGACTCGATTGGTAACTGCAGAAACGGTCGGAAGGTAATTTTCTAATGTATTTGTTCACTAGATTTAATCAATATTACAGAATAATAAACCGGAGAGACAGAGTGATAGGCCAGTACCTATCACGTTTCTGGATGCCACGTAAAACAATGTGGGCGCGTGCCTTTTACGGCAGTGTTTTAACTTTGGGTAACAACACGAATAATCGTGTTGAGTCGCTAAATAGGCAGATAAAAAGATATGTACGCAAAACCGACAGGCTGCACAAATGCATGTACAAGGCTTTGAAGTGGAGTTCAATGACTTTCTCTAGGAAAAGCATTGAAGACCAAATAATCAGTGGAAGAACGTACAATTATGATGCTTCACAGCGTCTTATCCCCTTGCTTAACATGTTGACTTAATTTGCAAGATCCAAGGTGTTATACGAACTTTAAAAAGTGCGTTTCGTTTACGTGGAATATGAGAGCGGCGACTGGTTGTTTATGGTTGACCGCGGACAACATTACGAAGTGGATGTAAGTATCTGTCAATGCAATTGTAGCACGTTTATTATGTGTCGATATCCGTGCCGCCATCTCCTACTGGCATATGTTAAAAGGCGAACTCTAACAGGTAAGGTATATAAATTATAAAATGTAAACTGCATAGCTCATTAACTGCTGCAGATGGAAGTTAGACAATACGCGCAATTTACAAAACAACACAACAACTTCATTACCGAGACAGAGCAATACCTAAGAAGTTGATGAGCTATGCAGTTTACATTTTATAATTTATATACCTTACCTGTTAGAGTTCGCCTTTTAACATATGCCAGTAGGAGATGGCGGCACGGATATCGACACATAATAAACGTGCTACAATTGCATTGACAGATACTTACATCCACTTCGTAATGTTGTCCGCGGTCAACCATAAACAACCAGTCGCCGCTCTCATATTCCACGTAAACGAAACGCACTTTTTAAAGTTCGTATAACACCTTGGATCTTGCAAATTAAGTCAACATGTTAAGCAAGGGGATAAGACGCTGTGAAGCATCATAATTGTACGTTTCTTCCACTGATTATTTGGTCTTCAATGCTTTTCCTAGAGAAAGTCATTGAACTCCACTTCAAAGCCTTGTACATGCATTTGTGCAGCCTGTCGGTTTTGCGTACATATCTTTTTATCTGCCTATTTAGCGACTCAACACGATTATTCGTGTTGTTACCCAAAGTTAAAACACTGCCGTAAAAGGCACGCGCCCACATTGTTTTACGTGGCATCCAGAAACGTGATAGGTACTGGCCTATCACTCTGTCTCTCCGGTTTATTATTCTGTAATATTGATTAAATCTAGTGAACAAATACATTAGAAAATTACCTTCCGACCGTTTCTGCAGTTACCAATCGAGTCAAGTAGGTTTTTAGTATTTTATCATTTGTCTAAGGGAAATTTTATGTAAGCAACCATAGGTGTACCTTTTTCCGGAAAGTGCGAATTACATGAAAGGCGCACTAAATGATGTTTGCATGCCCGTGTGTTATACGGACAGCCGCGCTTTCAGATCGTGCGCAATTCATCACAAATGTTTCTGTTATTGTTGTGTTACCCATTATCTCTTTAAATTTATCTAAAATCCATATCACATCGGCACGCTTTTCTTTTCGTGTCCACGCAAACATAACAGTTCGTCCTCGACCACAATTGTCTGTCACAACTAACTGGAATAATGAATATCTACATAGTAGAACAAAACGAAAATCATATTCACTTTTTATTATTAGTTTTATACGTAGAATCAATACACACGACTTCGGGATATTGATTGTACAACCGTATCTGGTCATAACTGCTGAAGCATATTGCCGTAATACATCCATTTTCTACATGCTCTCTAACTTCACCGTTTTGTCGCGTCATGTGCATTACCTGCTTCCGAGTACAACCTGAAATATATTTATATACACTCACCAGTGGAGGGTGTAGCTTTCATACCTTTGACATCGGCAGCGGTTACTTGCTTACCAGTTCTCTCCTTAATACTTTCGATAACTTCATCTGCTGACTCACAGTGCAGTATTACTGGCTTCAAGTTCTCTTTTTCTTCTGATGATAATCTCCTTGTCCATGGATCACATACCATCCATGAACTACTACATGGATGATTGTGGAGCATGTTGTAGGATTTGATGACATATCCTTGCTCCTCTAGTCTTACAAGGAATTTAGATTGGCAATTACGGAATTTGGACCTTAAACATCAGATATTAGTTAAAGGTCTTACGGTTTTTGCTTCACTTTCAAACCTTCCGATTTCCGCTTATGACCAAACGTACAATTAAACGTTACAAACAGGCATTTAAACCTGACATCCTTTAGCAACCTGCTTTCCGTGTGAATGTAACGAGTATAAGTAGTCTGAGAAGCGATAAAATTACTATTCCATACTTTTTGGAACTCTTTTAAGGCGATATCAAAGTCATCCCAGCACGCGAAACGCTTGTTCAATATCATAATTCGAAAGGCTTCGCTAAGGTCGACTGAAGTTTCACTTGAGCATGAAGCACTACAAAGAGAGATGATTAATTATAAAAACGTTATTCCTTGCAACAGTAATAACCCAAAGAAATACTACGAATACTTAGGATTTACCTGTGACTTGACATTTCGTTTAGGTTTACTACAGTTGTTGGGATCACAGATCAAATTACAAAGTGACAACATAGCCAAGTTGTACACTACAAAACAGAGAATGCTAAATTTATGCTTCTGGTAGTGATTTCGGGCTTTTTTATACAGCAGAAGACGACTTATATACGGAAAAACTGGATACGTATGCAGTCCAACCAACCCACGGCAATCGAAATACGGAATGTCCGCTTCTAGTCAAGCCGTTCTAGGTCGTTGAAACGAAACGGCGGACAGGTTTGAAAAGGATTGCCGTTTTTGCTTTACCCGAACGTTTGCCCCTTTTTTTTACTAAAATTTGACACATTCTATGCTCAACCCATATACTTGGTTCGTTCACCGTTTTGATCTTGAATACTTCGTCTCATTTTTGTGCTTGTTACTTCGTTCCTAGACATCAGGAGATCCTAATATTGTAGGTGTCTGATGAAATAGTCTCTATAATCTGTCACAAAAAACAATATTTTGATGGATTTTCAGCTACATATATGAAATTCCAACTCCCTGGATTTTTAGGAGTGTCAATTTGTTGAATTTTGTCCTTGAACCGTCCCAGAGTACGAAAATTTAGATTTAACAATGAGACCAGAAATATTTGGTCAAACAAACAATAGTATTGTAGAGTAATGTAAAAGACTGATATATTGGTAGCATCCTTTCTCCTGAATTTTGCATGTCTAACTGTTGCTTTATTGACTACATTATATGATTGCATATCTATCTCTTTTGACCTATGCTGTCGTTTGTCTATTTTCACTTATGTGGTCGTGTAGATCATTCATTGTGAACACTGAACATATTCTTGTCGTGACCATCTAATGAACATTTCATTCATTTTTTACCTCATACAAAGTCTGAGTCACCCTTTATTCATTCAATGGGTTATAATGGGATCTCTTATTTGCATCTATCAAGTTTCAAATTTCACCCGTTAAGTTTGCCTGCCCTCCTAATTTTTAAAATATACATGCGTATATTCAACCCGTATTCTGTGCTTTATTACTACATTGCATTGACATGATTATCTGGTAAAACATATAGGATGTTATGCGGGATATGTGTTTGATTAACATCAAGGTCATTCAGTCATAACGAAGCCAACAACAGGTATTGACGTGACAACTCCTAATTCGAAAGGACAGAACCCTTATAACTCTGTGGAATTCAACAAACTTTAAGTAATCTACGACAATGACGGTCGAGTTCAGCACAACTAGCTGACGGCACGGACAAACGAGCACCAATCGTTTTAGTTTTCTTCTTTACACTTCTGACTAAAACTGGAGTCTCCAATTCCACTCATAAGTACTATTTCTCCTACTGGGCTACTGGGGTCAAGGCTGCAAGGAGAACAAAACAGAAATACGCGAACGAACTACAAGCGTATTCAAAGATGCGACCCAACCAATCACTCATATCGGGTGGAACTTATAATGGTATGTATGTTTGTCTCACTTGAACCCAGGTGAAGTTAGCTAGTCAGCCTGTTCAAGATATAATCTTATTTTCATTGCCGTTGACTGTTGACGGTAGACAGTCAAAATGACGGAACACTGAATGTCTTGAACCTCCAGCCACCACAGAGTTTACTTTGTCATGGAATATCTAGATCATTTCTAAGGCCTCGTATGACACTCATCCTAATAATCCATACAAAGTAATGACAATCACTTACTGTTGTACAATGCTCACCAAAAAGCCAAAGACACACTGAGGAAGTGAAAGTAGAAACGTGAGTGCAGGCAAATGAATTGATAGGATTTGAGAAGCATATATATGTAATGGACTAGATTAGTCATCAAGCGATTTAAGCAACCCACATTTAAGTTATTAAGAGGGATATATATGCAGGCTGTAACACGTGATCAAATATACATGCTCATACAAACAATAATAATGATAAAAAGATATAGACAAGTCAGTACCAACCGAATGGAACTGTCCGTTAAATAAGTTAATTAAAGGTCTTGAAATACAAACGCGTACAGACTTAAGTGTGTGTAAAGTGCCTGGGTTTCTATAATATCCTTGACATGTGCCATACACTGAAGGTGAGCCAAGTCAATAACTCCACGACTGACTCATGTTACCCCGAAACCAAGTCAACCAAGCCACTGCACCATTTTTGTGTAGACAGTGGATATTCCTTGAGTCACTCATAGTCGATGTTAGTACTTCATTGTCACCGAGACGCTTAAATACCTTCTATGCTGCATAATAATAATAAAATATATCAAAACGAAAAATACCTCAGAAATACTGCCCGATTACCGCACAATAAAAATTCTCTCTGGTACAAACTGGACTACTATTCGGCATAAATGATCACTAAATACAACCGTCAAGTACCCAGGAATCAATAGGAATATTCGAAAAGGAATTAAATAGAAATTTGTTTCCAAGAATCATATATAAAAACAACTTGAAGAGGACATAATAGGAGCATAAATAAACAGTCACTTCCCTCCGTAACCATCTGTAAAACGTGATCTTAATGTCTCTGTTCTGGCATCATAGAAAAATAAGATGCAATATTAAATTCAGTTCTTAACCAAAGTCAAATGATAGACATATAGTCACAGAAGGCTGAAGAATATCGAAATGTATCAACACAAATCCTATATAACGCGGTGATCGGCACGTTTTGTCCGGGTTAGTTGATCGACCACTTAAATCATAGGAACTTTGTCGATAATACACCGACTAGCAGCGACAAAACATTTACAAGGACTAATATCTCATGCAATAGGCGGGAAAACAGCCGGACTCTAGGTTCGGCCTTGTTAGCCGGTCGATGTAAAGCGAAGAAAAATCAGTATATAGTCGTCTGATGATAGGGATTCAGCCATAAAAACCTGAATTTGCCAGCAATGAACTAAAAAAACAGGAACAATATATTTGATATGAATGGAAGATATAAGGTAACATTCAACAAGGACCACGCCTGCAAGGCCGAGCCACGCCATCCGATCAGCTCCCATTCATTCAATTCCTTGTTCGCACCTTCTCCATCGTTAGGTTTTTCTCCGCGTTAAATATTGAATATCTATTTTCCGAGCAATCTCGTATTCAGCTTTGAAGATTGTGTGGTTATTGTCCAATGCCACTACAATGATAAACCCTGTAGCTCTGATTTTACCAAGTTGAGTGTATATAATAATCATTTATCTTTACTCACCATTTCGAAAGGTAATTTCCATATTCAGAATCGATTATATGCCTCTCTTGGTTCATCCCATGACACAGGCAATCTAGAGTCATACCTAAGTCCAGAATCAAACGAAGTTTTGTTAGCCTTGGATAAGTCTGAAAATAAATTCCAGCCAAAACAAACTTATGGTACACGTGACACTTGTTGAGAAATCTGGAGGGACTTGTATTCAGGAAATAATTGAAGCAGCAGGATGAAACTCAGAATCATTGTGAGACAAAAGTTTCTAACGAATCAATTTCTTATCAGATTTGTCCTGTTATTTCACTAGATATGGGTTATCTTAATAAACATGTATATTTCTGATAGTATGTCTCATAAAAACAAGCGAACCATGTCGAATGAATCAAATCATGATAGGAAATTTTATGCAATTTCGATAGATGCTGATTTCTCAAATGATCTATTATTCTCCAGTGACATTCTTAGTTGATTCGAAGAAAATATTTCAAAAGTATCAAATCCTGATGATACAGTTATATCAGTTCACAGTTATATAATATACCCTTGTAGGCCAGGGTAACTTTACATTGGTTTTCAGGAGAACCAGACACCATCCAGACTTTCACGCAAAAACCCAAACAGTACAGCTCAACCCCGTTTAGCAGAGGAACCAGACACCGTACAGGCTTTAACGCTACAATCTGAATAGTACAGCTCAATCCTGTGGCGCAACCACACAGGTACCAAGCACCCTGGTGGACCATGATGATACCATGACAAATGTTATTTATCTGTATGATGTAGTGGTAAATAAATCCTCAAAATAAATAGCTCTTCAAGTTTTCGACATTGGATGCTGACCACATGTTTTAATGGACTCACCTAGCTGAAGGCGCTCGGCCATGCATCCGCACCAGATCACGAGTGGGAACACCGTAATCAACAACCCCTGTAATCGCTAGCCAGATTAGATAATACGATCCTCAATGTATGAATTGCCTATCAAATATATCTCCGAACCTCCTCGCTTTTTTCTTTTGATTTCACCTGGTGGGTACGATTCATATTAGAAGGTGTTACTGGCTAAAGCGTTTTCGAAATTCAACTATTTGTGGCATCTTCACTAGTGAGCCCAACGTGACCTGGTACATCAAACTACAAACTGTGAGTCTGTTCCTTTTTGGGATTTTATATATCATTGCCTTATTTTAATTTTTATACATTGTGATATTTTTTCCCGTGTTTTTGGATATATATTTTTTTCACTCGTTCATTCTCGTACTTGATATTTCACCATGACTGAACAGAAATGCAAAGTACTTCAGTTAAAGACTATACCTCCAACTTCGTTCCAACTAATGCCCTTCTGGCCAAACAACATTGAAGCCTGGTTCTGCTACATAGAAGCCGACTTCTACGAGCACGGCGTGAACGACACACGTGAACAATTCCTCGCAGTAGTCAAGACACCACCGCGCGGATTCAACAGGTACGTAACACCTAGCATGTTTACTAGTGATGTTTCGGAACCCTACGAAACACTGAAACGATCTGTTCTTAAACGCGGAGACCTAGCCGATCGACAAAGGTTAGACTAACTCTTTGATAACACCGACTTGCAACACGGTTCTGCGACAGACATGTTGCAAAGAATGAAAGAGGTTATCGGCCAAAGAACCTTCGGTGGTGGCCTTTTCAAACAACTTTTCTTATCCAAACTTCCTTAACAGGTGCAAGCTGTACTGGTCTCGTTTCAAAACAACGCCTTAGACGAGCTGTCTGCATCTGCCAGTCGCAACTTAGAAATCACGAAATCCTCAAAGGCCGATGTTTTTTCAGTCAAAGAAAAGCCTCTAACGACCCAGGATGACATAACAGAGTTATATCATACACTTACACGTTATCTCAAATTTCGTATTGACCCCTGTAATCGCTAGCCATACCAGATCAGACGATCCTCAATATATTGAATGCCTATCAAATATATCATCTAACCTTCTCGCTTCTGTTTTTTGATTTCACTTGGTGGGTACGATTCATGTTAGGTGTTACTGGTTAAAACGTTTTCGAACTCAGAATACCTGTGGCATCTTCAATGATATGTTTGTTTCTGATGGAAAATTTTACTAATGTGAAGTACAAGCTCTAGGTGAATTCAAAACTAATTATATTTCGGATGATTTCATATCAAACATCGTTTGTCCCCACAATTTAGTCACTACTAATCACCTCAAGTCAGTGAGAGAAATGTTTTGAATAAAACGACATTATTTGTACCCTGAGACATGAAGACCCGACATTATTTCGTGGGAGAGGATAGTGTTGGAAAGTCTATGTTGTGAATTCTAGATATCAGTGATTTAAGTACACATAACTGACATGTTGATCATATACAATTACAGGAACCAAGTGAGTCTGTTCCAATTCCAGTTGTTAATTTTAACACTTATAAGCATATTCTAGATCATACAGAGTCTGTATCTAAGGCACAACCTGATGGACATACAATGAACCTAAGGAGACGTTCAATCGGTAACAGAAACTTAGATTCCAATTTGGGCTGTGGCGGTTGTGGTATTTGAGTTAAATAATGATTCTTTTGTACTTGACTGTCTGCTGATTACGAATTCTATGCATAATACATTCAATTGTTTTCATCTAGTTCTTTTCACTTTAAACGTAACCGTTTCGAAAATTTTTAGTACATTGACTAGGATACATTTAATTATCATACCACACTACTAGGTACATCTAAACTAGCCTTAGCGACTTGAATGTCAGACTACCGTTTTCATTCGGTAACTTTACAGACCCGCAAAATCCTTACTTAGAGAATACAAAATACATATATACGAAGAGGTGGAATGGTAAGATTCAAAAAGGATGACTACGTCGCCGCATGGGCTTATCCTATGATATCGACTAATTAATTAGTGATAGTTATCAGTAAGTTTGGCTATTTATTAACAACCATTCGACGTTCATTTATCAGATTCACAATAAGGAACATGTTCAGATTGTAGAATCATCTTTTTCAGTGCCAGTTCACTTACTCAGCATTAGTAGTATGGAAAACACTATGTTCAGTCTGGTCAGTATTTATGGATACTGAAGACTACCTAAAATAAAAAAGCATACTACAGAAACGTCCAAAAATTTGGAGAGAATATGCTAGGTTTTTGTATATGGTAAATTAAATATCCTTTTCGTAATGCATATTAGCTCACAAGGCATAAACAAAAGATGTAAATAGTACTGAGTCGTTTATTCCACTCTTTTTGACCAAAATTCGATCAACAATCAAACGATCGTTGCGGTAAACAAAACCCAAACTAAATATTTTCAAGTCTTCAGCACTGACACTGACGTCATCAGTTTTGCGCGACACGCCTTGGTTGAAGGCGCTCACAAGTGAATACACTGTACTACGCATCTCTTACAACTACTAGCTAGCTTAGATCAAAAGCTTCTCTACGACCTATCGGTATAAATCTTCGAACTCAATCATTCCTGACTTTGATTTAACTGAGTTGGTACCGTTAGGTTATAAAGGAGTAACGGACGGAAGCTCTGTCAAAACCAGAACATCTGAGCAATCTTTACGTTGAATGCTAATGCATACCACCGAAGTGTAGTTACTATGGTTTTATAGAACATTTGATCAAAAGGTTGAGCATTCAGACAACTAATTACATGACTGGTTACGAAAACGCATAGTTTTTGCTCTGTTTTTTGAAAAGAGCATAGGATGTTAAATAGTGTTCAAGTAACTGAAACAGAGTTGACCTCAGAATTCGTATATGTCAACGTAATAACATTATGAAAAGAAGTGAGGGGAGAAATCGCTACGGAATACTAGGACAATAAAAGGAATCTCAAGACGAAATCGATAATTACTTGTATGAAATTCTACAGGAGAACAGGGTAAAGGAAATAATAGTACAATATCATATTGTATCCCAACACTATTATTTTGTTATTTTACTATTCTTACGTGAAAAAGTGACCCGAGAAACTTTTGTACAACTAGAATCACTATGACTTATATAAATTTTATTTTCTTCAGCAAAAACAGTTAGGCATAGTTACTGTAGGTTTAATTTTGTTTGAGTTGTTGCTTTCAGCTGCCCTTGCGCCTTAGACAAATGCTGTTCTTCTTCGCTTTGTTTTGGACCCGTTTATTTGTTGTTCACCAAACATCGAAAGCAGAATAGCAAATTTTATACTATTGAAAATTCATCCTAAAGTGGTCGCATAACATCAGTAATTCGAGAAATACGTATCCAACCAAGTTAGCTAAAAATGAGCTTGACTTCCAGAATTACTGGTGGTACTGGCTCAGGCGTCAACCACAATGTTGCAAATCCAGCTCCTAAATTATCTGGAAATCTTCCTCCTACACAAGATCCAGCTCCCGTGGTTAACCATTCAAGTTCCACACGATGTTCCAGTGGGGCCTTGATGAGTTTATTAAACAGTGGATTATCTGTTCCTCGTCAAATGATGGTTCAGGCCCGCGGTGCACAAGATAATCAGCATATTCCCATACATTTAAGCTTTGTGGGAACTATTGGACAGGGTACATTTGGACAAATTGAGAGGGCTACTCTCACTGTCCCAGCAACATCTTCAGGCACACCAGGCAAAAAGAATCCCGATGCCGGTGCTTTTTCTGATGGAGGACAAAGTTTGCAGGTTGCCGTAAAGCGTGTCTTGCAGGACCCTCGCTACAAAAACCGTGAGCTGAGTATTATGCAACGCCTTAACAACCATCCTAATGTTGTAAAGTTCTACTACTACTATTACTCGACAGCGTCGTCAAATAGTCGGGGCCATAGAAGTGGTGGTGGACGTGCAGGCGCATCTACATCGGGTGTAGATGTGTTCCTACATCTTGTACTGGAATGTTTCCCCGAGAGTTTATGTGAACTCATCTACCGCTATTCCCAAAGGAACCTGAAAATACCATCTTGTACAGTGAAGGTTTTTACGTATCAGATGCTCAAGTCCCTGGCTTACTTACATAGCCATCAAATATGTCACCGTGATATCAAGTCGTCCAATTTACTAGTCAATGAAGATACTATGGTTTTGAAAGTGTGTGACTTTGGAAGTGCTAAAGAAATGGTGCCGGGAACTGCTAATGTATCTTATATATCCTCTCGGTAAGTTACCATATTCTTTGTCTTTGAATAATTTCTGCTACTAGTTCCTAATTAGTGTGTTTCTAGTGATAAGCCACTGTAACTACACTGTATTTTGTTATTATATTAATCTAAGCCCATCTGTATCTTGTTCTCGTATCCTTTACTGTGCTTCATCAGGCGGAGATGAAGGGCTTGACAAGTTAACTATCCAGTTATAGAAGTTAGCTGACATTTCAGATTTGGAATTGGACGTAATCCTATCAAACTGTTCTTTCAGGTTTTGTATAATGTCAGACTCAGCCACACTATCCATGAATAATATACATCTACGGTTGTAGTCCAATTCCCTTATTTATTGTGTAAACTTGGATAATAATACTCAATGTATAACCGTAGATGATCCTAGTAACTAGTCGTTCAGTCCTAAACTTGCTTCATCCTTTTTATCAAAGTCTTGAATATCTTGCATTCTTACTTTCGACTTGATGCCTAAACTCCATCACACATCGTAGGCCAGTAATAATGGCTTCTTAGTAGTTAAACTGCCTTCCATCGGTCTGACAAGGTTAGGAACTGGAAACCTCTTTTAAAGTTATATTTATAAAGTCCATTTGCGTCTTGAACGCTATTGATAAAGTTATGGCCAATCCCGGGTGGACGAAATGTAATAAGCTTGTTGTTCTACTTGAGCATTGTTCAATAAACACTATGCTCTTTCATTTATCGTATGAAGTTTCTATCTCTCTACAGTGCTGTCATTTGGTTGCGGGAAGCACTCTTCATGCCCTATTTTACCAAACGATTTGTCCATAAAATAATTGTTCCACTGGTGGTGTGTCTTCTGTTAGGTATCTCCGAAATTTTAATTACGAATCAGAACGATACAGTCCTCAGTTCCGGCTTGGTGCCACGTCTACCCGAGTGACACATCAATGATGTCACTCATCTATTAGGTTATTACGTATTTTCATGGTCTTAGTAACTAGTAAACGATCACAGCCTTGAATGTCTTGCATTCTTACTTTCGACTTGATACCTAAACGCCATCGTTCACACAGTCGCTTGTTGTTCTGTATCCTCATTAACTGCGCTTATATGTGAGACGTTTCAGCATACCCATTATAAGATAAATAACAATTGAACCACTAGTTTGAGGCATAGCCTTTACATCGTGATATCGATTTCTGATCAGTACATTGTAATAATCAATGATGATGTTTTCCATAATTGGTCAATAACTAAACTGGTCTTGCTTTCCGTTCGGCATCCTAAAAACAGACTGAAAAGGCCCATGTGTTAACCGCATATTTTACTGGGGAACTAAAACTAACTACATGAAAGTAGGGGCGATAGGTAACTGCCTAGACTCATTAAGGTAACAGTTATTACTCAGTAAGTCTATAGTAGGACATTCTGACGAAAATGGATTGGTGATTCACTCCCACTTCACAATTTTGGAATGGTAACTGAAATACTCTAAGGATCAGGTCAACTGCTCTACAACTACTCTTCAATTGCTTTCTATTTCCATACAACCTGAGTAAGAGATCAGTCCAAGTCTGGTAGCTCTTACCAGGTTTGAAGAGACTAAATCTAATTTGAAGTGATAGGAATCAGTGGTCTGATAAATTGAAGTTTTTGAGGATGGTAATCCAGCTTTAGAAATTGAGTTGCTTGGGATGTGAGCGTAATTCTAACCTACTGATCTTGATTGTTAATCATCATAGTTCCTATAGAGAGCAAAAATCCTGTTGCGAAGACCGTATATGAATCAGTTGTCTAATATATGAAATATTAGCCTCAGTAATTATTCAATGGGTTAATAGAACCTAGGAATAACAAACTTGAAAGAACCAGGTGGATTTATGATCTAATAGTAGATATATAGACTGGATCTATACTCTCCGTCAGGTTTTAAAGTAGTCATATCAACACCCAACTTCAATTGTATCTCTACCCAAAGAAAGCATTCGGTTCCATTATAATAACTACTTAAAACGTTTATTTGTGGAAATTATATTTGAAATAATCCCAGTGATTGGAATTTAAATGGTTCCAACGTATCGTCCGGCAACCTTGTCTGGACTTCTTCAGGATAATAATCAAGATCAAAATTATCGAAGAATATATGTTTAACCATCAAATCATATCTTTACTGTGCTTATCTAGTTATATCCTAATGTTGACTTTAGTAAGTTGGATAATATGAGCCATGTGAACCATATGGAAAGTTCAGTGTGATGATAAATGAGTGATTGTGTATGCGTATGTATGAGTAAATTTGAGTTATCAATAGCCGATGTTAATTCGTTTTTAGATGAAGTAAACATAAAAAAATTGTCTGGAGTTAAAGTGACCAAACAAACATACCTCATTAGTCACTTATAAGTTTATGTAGTTGAGTATACCAGATGTATTTTTATGAGAATGCTAGGTGGTTGCCAAATCTTTGTACTTGAAGAGGTTAGTCATTTATAATCAACATAGTTTAGCACGAATATGAGTTTGCTGAAGTTGCCATACAACACCAGTACGGCGATGTGAAGTTAGGAGAAAGAATAGCTCGAGCCCAAATAATAGTGGTGTGGGTGATATTAAGAATGATTAAACATTTGAGAATACGGCATATACTTGGAGAAAGTTCCATGATTCTCATCTACTGGCTGTGATTCGAAAAATCAAATTAACTCAGTAAAATTTATGCCCAACTAGTTTCAATTAAACATTATGCGTTATGCAGTATTGATTTCAGTAATCCAATAATGTTTCGTTTTTCAAAATCCAAGTTAGATGTGTGCAGGTACCGAATTAATATTCCTTACCAAACGTTCAATTTAGGTCTAGCTATGTTGTTTGAAGACCATAATATTTTATGACTGATTCAACCTTGATTACTCATGCAAAACTAAGACCCAAAAATTCAAGTCAAACAGCCGCACAACCAACTTGTGTTTTGTGAGTGTAAAGCACATATCATTGATGGTCAAATTTCTGTTCATGGTTTCTCAAGGACCTTTTAATTCATTTTCCTATGCTCTATGTAAATCGACCAATATCTCTATACAAAATGAATTAAGCTCAAAAGCATTGTACTTTGTTAATCGATAAATGCCCCTTAGTTATTTAGAACAACCTTTAGATTCAAATAAAATATTTAGAAAGAAGCTCTATCTAGTAAAGTTATTTAACTAAACAAGATGAGAAATCCTAATCTTCACTCGGTATTTACTGTTAACTTGGCAAATTAACGTGTTTGGTAGACTCAATCCTAAAGCTTTGGTTTCGTCCACATATCCGTCTGCCAACTAAGGGCGAGTTTACTGCCCAGCAGCTCTCTCTGTCTTACTTCATGAATGTGAAACATGACGATTAAGGATAGAGGATATTCATGGGTTATTAGTGTTCGATCATAGGTGTCTTAGAAGCATTGTCCGTGTAGTTGGGGACCACCGGGTTAGGAATCCCTGGGTTAAGAATAGGGTGCTTGGTAAGGATGGGGAATCGATTGATGAGATAGCAAACTTTTATCGACTGAAGTGGTTGGGACATTTATGTACGTATGCCCAACCATCACCTTGGGAGTTGGTTAGAAAGAAGCAAGGGGCAGCCAAACAAACAATCCATGAAGTCATTGACAATTGGACTAAACCATGTTAATAGGTATAGATATTACCACTTGGTTGGAGTTCGCGTGATTATCGTAACAAGTGGTTGGAGACTGAATGATATAGCTCAAAATCATTTTTAATGACACAGTTTCACTCACTGTCCCCAGATTCTAAGCTTCTGAATCCCTCTTAATTCTTTTTATTTCGCTTTTTTATGTTTTCTTGAATCGTGTTTTCGATGCTTAGTTTATTCAGTTACCACTCATACTATTATTACCTCTATTGTTCTGGGATTCGGTCTAGCTGTGCTAGTCGGGTATGGCAACTTGAACCAATGTACATACGTACGGGTTCTACGTTGTGACTGACCGATTTAGGTGTTTGTTATGTCAGACATTTTTAAGTTATCTTGAGAGGATTTTCACTACTTACAGATAGTCAGCTATTGAAACTAGTCCAAGAATAAGTCGTTTGAATTCCTTATAAATTCCTTACAAATTTACCAGTCTTGTTAATTTCAATCAGCTTGTAATTCACTAATTGCATGTAAAATGTTCTTACAGCCTTGTTAGGTTCACTACCTTACGATACCTATCTTTATCCAGTATTCAATTGATGGTTGGGGCACGTGTTACGTATGCCCGAAAACCGATTACCACGACGTGCAATGCTAACCGGTGTTCGGGATGGTTGGAAGAAAGTTAGGGGCGGCCAAACTAAAACGTGGCATCAGTGCTTGAAGTCACTAACTTCTAGTCTGAGCCATGTTGGTAGATGCAGACTACTTGGTTGGGATCCGCGTGACTTTCGTAACCAATGGTTGAAGACTCTTGGTGACATGGCTGAGAATCGATCACAGTGGCGTCGGTGTATACACTCTCTGTCTTCCCTTAAACTAAGAGATTAAAATCACTTCATATCTTTCTTTCTGCGAACTAATTATTTCTTCCTGTACTATATCCTGATATGTAATCTTTTATATATTACCACTATTGAATTAACTACTTTTATGAATCCGGTGTTCATCTTGTTGTGTTAATGAGGTAATGACAACTTGGACCGATGTGTATATGTGCCTGGTCCTACGTTGTAGCTGACTAACTGTTCAATTGATGGTAACTGTTAAATGATATTTCTCTCCTTGTTGTTGATGGTTTCAGTAACCAAGATCAACAAGTTCTCCAAGTTCATATGTAATAAGCAATTATGGAAATTATCAAGACACTTATCCAGTCAAACGTGCTTGCACGTTTTATAATCTCAGCTTATCCAAACAATATTTTTTTATATCACGGCAATGAATTTTGTTTGGTTAGCATCTCTCAGTATGATGAAGATTAAAACATCACCAAACACCCCCTAAACCGTTATCATTTATTATTTTTGTGCTGTTTTTTTTTTACTTATTTTTGATCGAAATAAGATTTATCTTGTCTACTTTGTAATTTGTACCGTTCCCTCTAATGTTTCTGTTTCTGCTCTTAACGTGTAGATAAAATTTAATATCTCATTTTATCAAAACAATGTCATATCAATTGTGTGGTACATCCCTCTGCTTTTCCACTTGTATATCGATGTTTATTACTATCTTCCTAGATATATAGTTAGGCTTGTTTATCTGAAATAGTACATCCATAACTTGAAAATGTATAATGTTATTTAGTAGATCACGGTATCTGATTTGAGTGTAAATACGTATGCACTCAAAGACTGAATCCATCGAACCTATTACTCAGTCAAAGCAAAATAGATGAATATGTAGCATTCGTAGTTTTTCTAAAGTATTTATTTCTTTGATAATGACTACATATGAATGTTGCTCGGGTTGACGCATCAAACGTGCCCAATAGTTCAGTTTTGTTGACAAGCAAAATAATGTTTCTATCCTGACGTGAAATCTTCAATTCAGGAATACATCGTTTTAAAATGTTCAATAACTTGATTGGTTTATATATGTCCTTTTATTTGTCCTTTTTACAAATGCTTGTGCACCTAAGTATGTGCTATCAAAATTTTACTTCCTTTTTGTTTTATCTGATAAGTACTTTGAATGATTCTACCAGATATTGAATTATATGCATACGTATGTAGCATTGTGAAATCGATTTAGCAGTGATGTACTTTAAATAGGCCCTTTATTGTCTTTATCGTTCGTGTTTTATTGACTTCTTGGTATTGTATTACTATATTTTCCGTATACATCAAAAGACTATTCAACTTGCTGAATACACACTTATAAGCACTTAAAGGTTTTTACTGTTTGTATCTTTTTAGGGGAACAAAATACTTAAAACATTTCTTTTGTAATGTTTACTTATATATGCAAAACGATTGATTTATATTTATAATCCTTCAAAGCATTTTAGACGTTTGATCCAAACAAAATATATTATGTGGTTGGAAATAGTCGATAGGGTTTCCTCCAACCACCTAACATCTCAAAATAAACCAAACAATATCGAATCACTTAAACTAGTAGACGCATGCGCCTTGATTAATAGCATTAAAGAACTGAACAAACATGAAGATTATCATTAACTTAGTGATCAATCAGTTGTAAATTAAGTGTATCTAAAACTTTGAATCTTCCACATCTAGAACCTCAACACTTCGATGATCGTAAACGCTAAATGCCGTGACTTATGGCAAATCATTGTCTGTAGTACTCGTATTTACCCTCCCCTCTCAGATTCTACCACTCTACTTGCTTCCGTGTTGACTTGCCGATTAAAGGACTCTACTCTTGATCACTGGGTAGCCTATTCGGTTATGGCGACCTGTTAGTATCATTAGTTTTCACACTTAGATTTTGGTTCATATCCAAGTACCTGAAGAATGAATTAATCTAATCTGCAAAAACAGTCCTGCTCAATACTTATCCGATAAGTTTTTCTATATTGACTCGATTGACGTGTTCATCTTGAAACACCGGTGTTTTTATCATTTTGTACAAACCTCCACAATAATTATTTGTCGATGCTGAAATACGTTGAAAAAAGTGAAGTGGTCAGCTTGTGACTTGGTTATCTGGCATGAAGGAAACCCATATTGAACCAACATCTGTCAACCTATCACAGCTACCCAGTGTAGGTCCTAGAAATCGTACAATTTGATGAGTCGAGATATCCAACATGGCTTAGACTAGAGTTCAGTAATTATTCTACTGTAGACTTCTATTATATTCTGCATAAAAATGAGGTGATATTTAAATGAAAAATTCTTCATAAACTGTATTTAGACGAGTTGTTTAGAGACATTCTTGCACATGTATTTGTGGATTGTACGACCTTCCCCTCTTTTCTGCACTATCTTATCACTTCACCTGCTGTCGCCTTTTCGGTGCCCTGTTGTACCTTCATTCGTGTGAGTCTTAGTTACAATACTAATTGCTATTTTCTTGCATGAAATTTTTACTAAATGACTCTCTATGTTTATATCCTTATTGTCGAATGTTTGTTCTATCGTTCAGGTATTATCGTGCTCCGGAGTTATTATTTGGAGCTCAATATTATTCTTGTGCGATTGATACTTGGAGTGGGGGTGTGTACTGGCTGAAATGTTACGTCAGCATTGTTTGTTCATGGGAGCTGACTCAGTAGATCAACTGGTTAAAGTTATCCGGGTTTTAGGCACTCCTACTCCACAAGATATTGCCAGTATGAATCCAATGTATGGATCTTACAATTTCCCAGATGTTCAATCTTGCCCTGTAAAACTGTTTTTCCCACAGCATACTCCAGCCGATTTGTTGGCTCTAATGAGCAAAATGCTTGTTTATAATCCATCACTAAGAATTTTACCATCTCAAGCTCTTTCCGAACCATGTTTTGACGAACTTCGTTCTATCGGTCCAAATGGAGTACTTTCGAACAGAGTTCGTATGCCTCCACATATCTTTGATCCTGATCCCGAACCTAATCCTCCTACATCAGTAACAGATGGGACAAATTTATCAGCATATAACAATTGGTTACCAGAACATCATAAGCATGGCTCATCCAACAAGAAACCGACCACTAGTGTGGGTGATTTGCAAGGTTCCGATAAGAAAAACTGTAAACCACCATCGAACTCTCGAGAAATTCCTGCTGATTGGCAGCGAAAAGGTATGTTTTTAATGCAGATAAATAAACGTGTTTTAATTGTTTAATAGTTAATTAATGTTTAGTTTGAAAATACGTTTTTCTGGGAATACATTATTTCTCTTAGTAATATTTATTTCGCCGTGCTGTATGAGATGTTACTTGTACCGATGCAAAAGTGTTAGATTCTACGTTGGTGTTTATTTGTTCATGTATTTAAACACAAATGTTGGTACAAGGAGGTACCAAATATATATGCTCCACACAAATCAGATGATTTGTATGAGGGCTGGAATACTGCTCGAGTGCCCAAACCGTAGCAGATGGTTTCCCCGAACCCTTGACCTAGAGGTCTGATCCACAAGGCAGTAGAATATCGTCAGGAGATGCAGTCCCATGGTAGCCGGTGACCAACAATAGGTTCATACTCCATCTGTTCCCATGTTCATCATTAGTTTGGAATTATGGTTTCTCAACTCCCATAGGTGGATCCTTCAATATTCGCCAGCCCGGTTAAAGCTCCGGATATTCGCTTTTCGTCCTCTCAATTTCGTAAACACCACTCGCGAGTAGGCAGTGAGTAGGACTTCCATGTCAGTGGTTATGTACGCTTGGCCATGTGAGAGCACTCAGAGAGAGAAGACTCTCCCCACCCTCGAGAGCTGTTGGGTATATGAAAGCATTTATTTATTTATTTGGACACATAAATATTGGTACAAGAGGGCACCAAATATATATGCGCCACACAAACAATGAAAATGGGGAGAGAAACAAAGAAGGTAAGGAGTGTGAAAGAAAAAAAAAGAAGAATGACGACCAGATTAGTGTAAGGTAGTGTAACAATAATAATAATAGTAATGGGGTAAACGGAAAGGTACAATTAGAAGTAATCTTTCAGTTAAGGAAGAAACAACCATTTTTTATGAAAAAAGTAAAAGAAGGTTACAGCAGGATCGCCACTGGCTTCTGTTCTGAGCCATATCTGATAACGTCTCTAGCCACTGTAGCACCATCTCTCTGACCCCAACCAGGGAGTCGTGAAGGACCAACAAAAGACAACCCTTTGCAGCTTTCTTTCATACCACGACACCATGTCATACACTAACCACCTCTCCGCTTCTTCCAACCAGTCCCGTGAGTCAGCAAATAATGCACGACGTGGAATTCTTTGGACGACATTCGTAGAACATGTTCAAGCCACCGAAGTCGGTGTTTCAAGATGGTGACACTAATTGGATTATCGTCTGTGCGCCCGGACACACGATGCCGAACCTCTGTATTACTAACATGGTATTGCCACTGGATGTCAACAATCCTTCGGAGACAAGGATTACTAAACCCAGTGAGTCGTCTAACATCTTCAACTAAGAGAGGCCAGGTTTCACAAGCATAGAGCAGAACTGCTCTCACCGACACGTTGTAGATCCGACCTTTTACAGCCAGGCTGACATCACAAAGGCGCCAAAGATGGTCCAGATTGGCATAAGCCGATCTGGCTTTCACTATACGTGCATCGATCTCACCACTCACACCACCACCAGCACTTATGCAGCTACCCAGGTGCACGAACTTCTCAACTACGTCTATCTGCTCACCATCCAGATTGAGTACAGGATTGGAATCCTGCCAGTCTTGTAGAAGTACTTTGCACTTCGAAGGTGCAAAGCACATACCATACCTACGGACACTGATTGCCAACTGATTAAGTGCGGATTGCATGCCTTGGGCATTATCGCACAGTAAGACAATGTCGTCCGCATACTCAAGGTCGAGAAGTCTTTCTCCAGGCAACAGATCTACACCGCCATTACTTACATCTATCAGAGCTGCTTCCAGAATGTTATCGATGGCAAAATTTGAGAGGAATGGTGAGATTGGACAAGCCTGTTGTCTAACCCCACTTCTTGAATGGAACAATGGAGAAAGGTGGTTGTATGCCCTCACTCTACCCATGTGAAAGAAACACTTAATTCATTGAATGATAAGGCACCATGATGTATCAAAGCGGTACATCAACCTTGTATCGACTACTCGAACACTACTGGTCGAGTTAGAACTTAAGCTGACATGTTATCAGAATTGTCAGGGTTGTCCACTTTCTCCATTTTTACCTAGTTTCGTCATAGACATTCTCCAAGAGATAAGGCCCTCGTCGTCTGACGTTTTAAGCGTCGACCTAGAGATCCACTTATCGACTTGAAATACACAGATGGCACAGTCCTGTCCTATTTATTGATTCACTCATTCACCACGTACTTGGGTATGAGCTGATTCTATTATCTGGTTGCTTAAACCAAAGTTGGTCAAGCTAAATACGAACCTAGTACTTAGTAGCTGGAAGTCTAATGACTTAACCATGAAGTCACTATCTAAACGACTAACGAGAAGTATTTTCGTATTCATATAAATCGTATCTCATAATTCTGGTTTTTTTTTGTTTATTATTTAGGTCGAGCTATCGGATCTAATAATTCATCGGAAAAATGTGGGTCAGTTATTGCTGGTCCCGGTGGTGGTAGTCATCCAAACCTGGAATCAAAATCTGACGAATTAACCGGGAACACTAATGGTGTAAATAATGATTCTTCGAGTAGACAACAACAACAACACAATCGAACTAATAATGAGAATAATCTTAAAAGTCCAATCGATACAACAAAAGCCGGGACGGCGACAACAGTTGATGTTGGTCATCCAAGTCAAATAGAAAATCCCGATGTCTGTTGCAATGATAATGAAAATAATATTAATAATAATAGCATTACTACAAATGTACACTTAAAATCATTTGTGCCTCCTACTCATCCCAACTCTTCTGAACAACGGACAAATTTAAGTGAAGTACACTAGATGGATAGATAGATCGAGATAAACATTTGCACAAAAATCCACATTACAAAATTCATAGTGTAATTATTTCTTGTCATTTGATATATCCTGCACACTGAGTCATTTCATTGACGACCAGCCTCAACATTAGCGTCACTTGGTTATCTTTCTGTTAACTAACAAATTATTTCTTATGAGGATAGTAGTACTTCGTAAATAAACAATCACCTTTTCTCTCTCCCTGTCTGCGCCCAATTACTCGTCGAATTACTTTGATTTTTTCGTATATATGTGTGTATGTATGTCTAGAAAAAGCCCACAATAAAGGAAACCAACTAAATTACACCATACTCTTTTGTTGTTATTGTCGTTTAATATTGAACAAAGTTAATCCTGTTTCTCTCTCTCTTTATTACAAAACACCTACGGTGACATGGTTATCATCTGTTATCTTCGCGACTGTTAGTTTTTCTTCCAAAATAATGGATATTACAATCCACATATTTTTTGTTTATCAATTTATGTAGGTAGTTGAGTGTAGACAACAAAATGTTGAATGGTATTGTGTTGTATGCATTGTTTATTGTTTCAAAACTGTAGAACCTTTCTCTTCCATCATTTTCTTCTAACTTCTTTTTCTGACTAATATGATTCCAAGTAATAAGTTTACCTCATAGGAACAATCTCTCCTGGGTTTTTTCTCCCGTTTGTGTGTGTTTATTTTTACAATTAGAATTAGTTATGTTATATAACATTATTCTGTATTTTCGTAACTACTTTAACAACCCATTAATTAATATGTAAATATACATACATGTATGTGTTCATTCAGTTCACGACTTCTTTCTTGATTGTTTTTCATTTGTTACACTGTGTTCCGAGGTCCCTTTCTTCCATTCTACAATCTGTCCATTTTTTCCTCTTACTTTATCCCATCTCTTATTATTATTCAGAATCATTTCTCTAGGTGTATGTTGTTTATTCACCTCACTTCGTTGTGTTTTAGTTCTCTTCAAAGGAGAGAAAAGAAAAAGAAGAAAGAAACAGGCTTATAGAGTGGTAGTAAAATATTTTTTGTCTATTTTTTTTAAAATTTTAGATCTTGGTTGCTGTCTATCTACCAGTTCCATTTTTAAGAATAGAACATTTCATGTCAATATAATAATAAGTAAAACCCTATACATTTCTTGATCTGATTAGTTACAGTTTTATAGATCTTAGGCAATTACATGTTGATCTCCTTTCATATTAAATATATTCTTCTCATATTGTAATCAAACCTTATTCGATATAAATTGCGGTGGGGGAGGGTCGGAGAAGAGAAAGAAAGATAACTGGTTGATTGATCGATCGATTATGTCGCAATATTTGTACTTCACTTTTTACAATAATGTGAATTTCTGGATATTTATTTTGCATGTTCTATACAGAAGTATCTATGAGTGTAAAGGTGATTGTTTTGTGATTTTTTTCTATTTCCTATATCTTCTTTACTGCCTATTTATTCATTTTATAGACACACACACTTGTATGTAACCATTTCACTGTTCTTTTTTTAAAAAAAAAATTCTATTCAATTAAATTATCTGGTTTTTCATTGTCCTTTTTTTCCTGTTAACAAAAAGTTGTATTTGAGTTCTTTTGTTTGTTTGTTTGTTTTTTAAAAAAAATGGAGTTAGGATAGATTATGGGATTGTTTTTGGACTGTTTTGTAATTCAACAAAATACCATAGCAACTAAAACATATAGTTTAAAGAGAAAAATAAATTTTCTTTACTATAACAAACAACACAATGAATTGTGTTGTGTATATGTTTTGGCCATAGATTAGAATTGTTTATTATTGTTATCGTTTGAATTTTCTTTTGGTTGCTGTGCATCTTATCAGCATTTTTTTTCGTTGTTATTGCCTTAATTGGTTTATTTTATTTCTTGAGATTTTTCTGATTCACCAAGCTGGTATGCGTATGTACACGATAGATGATGTAGTATGTAGGCAACGTTTCTATTGTCCATGTCATGATAGTGTTTAGTTCTCTTATGGATGTGTATGTCTGTTTACATTATCCATGTTGAAGAGTTTTGCTAAATTTAATGAACATGAAGTTGATAGGGTAATTTCTTTTTTTTTTCTTTTTTGGAGAATAGTTTTATATATGTGTAGGAACGATTTGTTGTCTGTAGGTTTTTTTCTTTCTATTCCCTTTCATGTACTTCTGTTTCACATGTAGTATAAACGTTTTTTTTTCTTTCACTTTACTAACTTGTGTTTTATGACTTTCTAACTGTTGGTCTTTATGGAGATTCTTAATGCTTGTATTATTATTCAGTCTAATTACTGATATATATACTTGTAAAATGTACAAGATTATTTGTTTTGTTTTATTCATGTGTTTCCTTTATTCTCTCTTCATCTTTTTCTGGCAAAAACGAATACATACATAGATTAATATGAACACATACTTGTCTTTATATTTGATATACGTATCATATCTATTTATGATTATAATAATGTCAAGTTGATATGTCAAATATGAGCAATGTTCTTTATCTTCCATTGTGTTAAGTTCTCAGGAGTATTTTATTGTATGTGTTCATTTATTTTACATGAGTAAATAGTTCAGTGTCTTCTTTTTTTCCTTCTTCTTCACTAGATGATTGAATTTCTTTTCCATCATTAATGTCATTTTCTGATCATATTTTGTATGTGTACATCTAAATAAGAGAAAAATAAATCGACTATCTTTTCTTCTTCTTCCTCTTCTTGTAATCATTTGTTTGATTCCCTTCTTTTTGTCTTTTATATGTTCTATTCTGAAATATATATAAAGTAAGTAAATAATGTTTGTCTTATAGTACATTAGTTTTATTGTATGTTATCAGTTTGTTTGTTTGTTTTTCTTTTCATTCTTCTTGTATCGCTCAATTGTTTAGAAACATTGAATAATTTAAGCGTAATATACCTCTCTCTCTCTCACACACACACACATACACTCTCTACCTACCTATCTGTCACTTTCTCAGTATATATTGTCAAAGAAATTATTTTGACCATTAATTTGTTTATAATAAACGATATACATATATATATGCCTAACTAGTAAAAGATCAACTATGCATTCTATATGATAGACAAGATTTCGTTAAATATCATTATAATTGATAGTACTATTTGTATATCTGTGAATATACAATAAGAATAATAGATCATCAATCAATCAGTTATTGCTTTCAATAAAGTTTCCTACTTTATAATTTGTATATCATAGATATACGTTTTATCTGCGAGATATATATATATATATATATATGTAATGTTATCATTATTCTAAAGGATTTAATTATTGATTAGTATGTGATGTGTTTATCTACATGAATAGTAAACATTCATAAAGAAGTACTAAATTGATTATATATACTGATGTATAGTTCATATTGTAAATAATAATCATAATAATATAGATATAGATATGGACATTTATGTCTCATTTTTAAATGATCAGAGCATTTACTAGTTTAGTCTGATCTACTGAACATAATTTTCATTGATTAATAGTTTTAGTTATAAGTAATGTAGAACTTGATATTAATGTAAATCGGTTCAAATTGATATATGAACACTATGTCAAACAATTTCATACAACCTTTCCTAACTTCAAAAAAAAAAGAAAAAGGAAATATCCTAGTAGAATAACATGAATCTATATATTTCGTTGATTGTCTTTAACTGTTTACGAATTCCAAATGCCTTGGTACGGTCGAGAGTTGGAAGAGTTAGCTCTTACATGGACACGCGTATACAGCTACTGACAGTGAAGTCCTACTCACTGCGTTCTCGTGGCAGGGTTGTTTACGAAATTGAGCGGACGAAAAGTGAGTGTCCGGCGCTTTGACCAGATTGGTTGATATGAAGGAACCACCTAGGGGAGTTGGAAAACCCTGATTCCAAACCAATGATGCACTTGGACTCCGGGATTCTGAGGGAACATATGGGGTATGAACTAATCGTTGGTGGCCGGCTACCATGGAACTGCATCTACTTACGATGCCCTACTGCCTTATGGATCGGACCTCCGGGTGTGTCCCTAAGAAAACCATCTACTTCGGATGTGCTACCCGGGCTGTATCACAGTCCACACACAAATCAAGTGACTTGTGTGGCGTATGTGTATTCGGTGCCCATTTGTGTTCAAATAAATCGTTAAAACAAATATACATACTTTATATCAGAAACATCTAGGATAAATTGATTTAAAATATGGAGATAGAATAATATTAAGAGACCATAGTACGGGAGAACTAGAATTGTATAAGCGTTCCCTTATTTATAGGTTAAGTATATGAATATTCTAGAAGAGTATGCAAATAAAAAAGACTTCGCGAAACAGAAGATAGTTTATACACTATAATCTGATTGATTAAAGCTTATAGGAAAATAGAAGACAAAGTCTTTTATTATTGATCACGAAAAATAAGGTCATCAGAGTAGAACAGAACTGTTCCCATTTTGAATATACATAAATCCGGTTTAAATCTTTTTAATGCAACAGATTTGACAAAGTGTCTGCTTATTATTATAAATGATTTCGCAACTTCAACAACATGTCTGCCATCGAGCAATTGCACTATTGAAAACCTTGTGTCCGTTTAGCACCAGTTTTTGTGGAGTACGTTCGGAGATGCGGATGCGAACCTTCCTTTCTGTTCTACTGATGTATGAGCTTTCTCACGTAACTGTAAACTGCTAAATAAAATTAGGGGTAATATAAAGCGGATATCTGTCCACATTTGATTGTCTCAATGAGCATATGCTTTAGTGTAGAGACACCAACTTCGTCTCTGAATACATTCTTTTTAGTATTACCTTTAGTCTAAAATCAATCCACTCAGCTATTTCATCGCCTTTGAAACTAAGTTTTAAGAAGGAAGGCTTTTTTGCAATCGTAGGATATTTCATTCCCTTCTTCCTAGTTGTTCCGTATTTATGGATTTTCGCGATAACCGTTCTCACATAAGCAACGTTCAACTATGGATAATTCCTCCTTAATCTTATCATTAGAACGTAGTCTGCGTAAACAGTTGAATAGCGTTCTAAACAAAACTGTTTTGTAGCCTATCGGTCAGAAGCTATGGAAGTTCAAGTATAACCCACTTCTTCTTCAAATAAATGTCTTTCTAATCGGCCATTTGAATTACTTTTAATACCAAGACCTAGAAAGTGAAACATGTTTTCTTGTCCACCTTCCATTGTAAATCTAATGTTGGGGTGTACTCTGTCGAAAAAGTCTAGTATACGAGAAGCATGTTGAGAATCATCACATGCAACAAATGTATCGTCCACATACCTGACATACAACTTTGTCGATTTCATAACTGTTTGTTCTAGTTTCAACACAAAGATATCTGCCAGGATTGGACACAGCGGACTGCCCATGACCACTCCACTAACTTGACGGTACAAGATATCGTTGAATTGAAATCAAACATATTTAGTGCACATCAGCATTAGTTACTTGAATTCGTCCTTCAGTAAGGGAAATAGTTCAGCACGTTGACGTATAATTTGTATGATTTCTTTTAGTGGGATTGAGGTAAATAGTGATGATCTATCAAATGAAACCATGAATTTATCAAAGATGTTTACACTTTCTAGCATCTAATTAAATTGAAAATTGTCTTTCAAACTATGGACAGATAATTTTGAGCAAATAATTTCTAATTGATCACTAACCATCCAACGATTTTGTGAAATAGAAGGTTGACCATCGGTAGTATAGGTCTAACGAGGACGTCAGGTTTGTTGATAGTCTATAAATAAGTTTGTCTGGATCCTCGAGGTTTCAATTCATTATAAGTTTGATTATTAATTAAATTCCTTTTCAAAAGGCCTTTTAACTTCTCTATGATACGCCTTTCTTTTGTCTCAGTCATATCCTATCAGCCAACTAGAAACCTAGCAGAATCATCTAGAACCTTAACGTTTTAACCATTAGTACTACACCAGAGCTCCTATCAGGTTTCAGATAGACGATATTTCCATTGTGTACTAAGTTTTTCAAGGCTGTTTGATGTTCTTGAGATCAAACTTTCGACTATGGAATTCGATATGTTATGTATTGATTGACAACATCAATGAATCGAGATTTAAACCAATCTTGTCTTTCTTCAAATTGTTTTCAGTTCCGACAACTGTTAATACAAGTTCCGAAATTGATTTGTAAAACAATCAAGTTTGTAACGGGTGTGTTTTTCAGTCGGGTATAATAATGATGGAATTTTTGTACATTAACGGTATACAAACAGATGTAAAGAACATAGGCTCTGGTATACATGAATGTCAGTTTAACTTGCTACATTTTACGTCATTAAAACTGAAAAAATGGCACTACATTGATGGTAATAATATCACAAGGGTGAAAACTGAAATTAAGAAAAAAGTGTCAATAGGAATGAATGAAATTGGCAAATGAAACACTACGTAGTAATAACGGTGTCAGTGGTAATAGGAAACCCATAGATATAATTCAGTAAAAAGGATTAATCCATGGAATAAAAAGTTATTTTGAAGCGAAATATTAACTCATTCACCACTGTGACCGATTCCATGTTCTGTCACTGAACGTCTCCAACTATTGATTGCCATAATCGAACGGACCCCAAACTGTAAAGCCATATTTACCAACAGACTTTCAAATATGTGTTCGTTTACTTGGTAGCTACCTCGTTTTTACTTGCTTTTACGACTCCTGGGCTCAGTAGCAAAGTGGATAAGACGTTGATGTTTGAAGTAAACAGTAATGGGTCCGAGTCCCAGAGTGAACAACTCTGTTATGCATGTAAATCAAGCCGACAAGTTCCAAGTAGTCAGAAGTTATTACGTTTGTGTCTCAATGTGAACATCAGCATCCTCTTAGTTTGGTTTTCTACATAAACTCAATTGTAATGAGTTTTTCTGGTGAGACTAATTTATTGAGGACCTTTGAGCCATTCTAAAATGTTCCTGAGAATGTCCACCTACTAACTAGGACTAAATGAGGATTATAAAGTAGTGTGAAAAATTAGAATTATGATTTACAGTTGATGGTTATGGTTAAGAATTAGATTTAGGGTTTACATCACAAACTAACATCAGCTGAAAATAACTAAACTCTGTTTAACCAAATGGATGAGTGAATTTCGCGCCAAAATCCAAAACTTATCATCCTAAATCTGATTGGTTCATCCATAAATTATAGTTTCACCCTTAGATTTGATTAATACAAATGATAAACTATATTGTTAGATAATTGTAAAGTTGTATTAAAAGATTGGTTATTTGACATTAGTTCACATTTGAGTTAACAGTCATTAAGACAACAATTGAAAGTTCACTTAGTATTGTTTGCTTGTATCTTCCCGTTGGAGGTACATTCAGCTGACGAGTTCGAAATAGAACGAAACTCATATCCTTGATTTCACTGCTAGCCATCATCCATCTTTGTCATGTATGTCAAGTCCTTATTTAGTGCAGATCGAATGCTATAGACCATGTTGCAATGTGGCTACCAGTCTAGGTGACTCGACACTGCATGCACGCAATCATCTATCTTTGCTTGACAATATTATTGTTTCAGTTATTTTAATTAAATGTCGTTAACTGACGGAATAGATACAATTAGAGTAATTCATTATTGCTTATAGTAAAAATATAAATTTAGTTTGAAAGAATACTGCTGAAATTAATTAAGTGACTCGTAAATGAACTGCTGTCAACGTTTATGGTATCGTTAAATAGACATTACAAAAAGTGGATAGGAAATACATTAGGGAACTTATTAAACCGCATCACAACTCAAATCCACACTTGGAATCGTGAAAGGAAATAGAAAAGTGGAAAGTTGAAGAACGCACTACGTGAGGAATTATAAGCAAATTTGAAAAGGATGAATAGCACCTGGGAAGAACTGTAAAGGATCGTCCAAGACAGGGTTGAATGGTACATGTTCCTCCACAAGGAGTAACAGGCTTAGGAAAAATATAATAAAAAGTAGGTGCTCAAAATATTTAAAGGGATTATAGAAATTAACTTTTGCCACCATAAAGTACAAATACTGGTATTAAATATATAAAGTCCTCGATTCTCTTTATTTAGATTGTATATAACAAACGAAAAAACTTCGTCCCTAAATCCTAACTCGAAATTGTCAAACTTAAAACAAAACTTAACCGAAAATGGTCGCGCAACTTCGTGGATTGGTTGAGGTTAGACATTA